ACACTGATATATATATGTTTTATACTGGTGAATTTTGGCCTATTCTAGTATTCATGGGGGGGTTGGATGGCCGAATGGTTAGCACGTGCGCGCTGTATCATAAGGCCTGTCATTGAGTCAACTGGCGTGGTTTCGAATCCCTGGTTGGTACGTGACAAGGAGTAGGGTCACCTGTCCAACTTCATAGGTTTACTCCGGTTTCCTCCCACTGCTAAAGACCCCTACGCACAAGCAAATTATTGAAATAAAAAATTAAACCACATGTTAGTCCTGAAATGACCTAGTTTGTGTCGAGTGGACGTTAAACCCCATTTCTATCTCTCTCTCTCTAGTATCCGCGATCATTGTAATGGAACAGACTATGTTTATTTTCAATATCAATCCATTGAATATCTTTATCTTTCATCTCAAGATCCAGTCAGCTATCATGTGTTGTTTTTTTAACTTTTTAATAGCTCAAGGAGATTAATTGAAAATAAGGGTCCACGTTACATGTGATATCTGACAGATATAGCTGAAGGCTAGTTGAGAAAATTTGACTAACTAACACCATAATATGTTTATGTTTTGATTTTAGTCAACTGGAAGTAAACAACAGGGGCAAAAAATTACTTCTTAATAAAACACAAGCAACCTGGGGAAGTCAACCGTGAAAACGTGAATAGTTTCTTAATCTCAAGAGTCTTTCACAGTGTATGTACATGATAGTAAAATGTAATCCAATCCAAGAAAACCATCTTTCTTTTTTATACAACAGATTCATCGGACCATTCACAATCACTACATTTTGTTTTCTTTGTCATTGACTTGTGTTTAAAATGCTGAACATTTTCAACAAGAAAAGTTGCTCTTCTTACAAAATCTTGAATGCTAAGTAAAAAAAAAAAAATATGTAATATGTAATTGAGCAAGCTTGAATAATTTCTTTATTTATAATAAAAAGGTATTTGCTTATTTAAAATGTCATTTTTGTAAAGAAAGTAAATAATTTTACATCTGTTTCTCAGTAGGAAACTTCCATGTAGGTAGAAAAATTAGAACGAATATGATCGCACAATTTTATATTTCGTAGTGTTTCATTTATTTTATTTTGACTTTTCTTAGACAATTATATTAGAAATGTTTTATTAGAAATATTTTTTGAACTTTATGTTTTCAAAGGGTGGTGGTTGGTCGAGTGGTTCAACGCATGCATTTTAGATCATAAGATCTGTCATTAAGTGTCAAATAGTGTCTCTGAATTCTTGAGAGAAGGGGAGAGAGAGATGGGGTTTAACGTCCACTTGCACGTAGGGGTCTTTAGCAGTGATAGAAAACCATAGGACCCAGAGAAAACCCACGAGGTTGGACAGACTACTTGACTCAATGATACAATGCACACGCATTAAGTCTTTGCCACACACCCCATCCCCCAATTGAGTGAGGGTGTACTAACGATATATTTCTGTTTACCTTTTTCATACTCATATAGCTGTAACCAGGACCCAGTTTCACAAAACACTCTCAGACCTAAGTATTGTTTAATAAATCTTTTATTGTTTTAAAGTTACAATTTCATATTTTCTAAGAAAGTCAAAACATAATTATTTCTATGTCTTTTGCTCAATAGGTTGTCAACTCACTACGATCATAGGTTATCTTTCTCACACTTAAAAATCTTCACACCGGAAATAATAACACAATTACCTCCCAATTACCTCCCTTGTTTTCCTATTCCCAGCCATGGAATAGCTATCTTCAAACGTTTGAATTTGAAGTTGAAAATGATATTTTTGCCAATTTCTCAACTGGCAATAGTGAATTATAGGATTAATAGGATTATTCTTTAACAGGGTAGGACTGTTTATAGATACTATCTATTTTAGGGCTTTATTTTAATAAAATATAACTTAAAAATATGAAATTGTAACTTTAATGTATCCAATACATCAACAAGAAATTATGTGCAAAGTTTTGTGTTTTTGGATCAAAGATATTTCTCATAAACAGTGATTGAAAGTTTAGTAAAGTCTGAGAATGTTTTGTGAACTCGAGGCCTGGAAGATTTTTTGGGTAGCATATTTGTTAGTACTTAAGTAAAGTGATAGATCTTTCTTTGAAGATAATTAACCTGTCATTGGCACTGTAAAAAATGGTCCAAATTATGTGTTTTACAAGGCTTTGAAAAATTTATGTTTCGTGTACATAGACGTTATAAATACATTATCGTTCTGCAAATCTGGTAGACATTTGATTATTACATCATAAAGTTTGTAGAAAAATGCTCTAATAGGAATTCACGATTTAAACGTTGTGGAAAACGCAACAATAAAATAACTAGAAATAGAACTGCGATGTTGAAGATTGCTGAAGCGGTTTCCCTCCCCTAAACAAACTGGCTAGATTGATTAAAGGGAGGTAATAAACAATAGACTGTTTGATGGCTTTACCAGAAGTCATGATACACGTCTGATGTAGAAAGGGAACATATAACTGATTTTTGATGAAAAAACTTTAAGAAATGCTACAACTTGATGACTTTAATGGATTTTACAGACAAACTTTCTTCTGCCACTTCTTAATTACTGGTGCTTTAATTTGCCAACTTGGGAACAAATTTTTTGACTGGACTCAGGTTCAGAGAAGAAAGTTTATGATGATTATTTGTTTAAAGCAAACACTTAGAAAAAAAATGAAATGCAGAGAAATAATCGTTTGAGAACATGCAAATTTTCCAGATAATAAAATAAATTAAATTGGCATAAAAATAATTATTTTTGGTGTTGTATTTCGGCATTCTAAAAACAACTATTGATTTTTTGATGCAAGAACAATTGAAAAGATTTTATATGTTCAGAAACAATGTAATTTACGAAATAATCATTGCAATGATATGAGAGTTGGGATTAGAAACGGTCTAATTATATCCCAACAATATTGAAAATGAATCATATTTTTCGTGATCTAAGTTAATCAACATTAACCGCAATTATCACCTGTAATGGCGCCACCCTAGTCTGTGATTCACTATTCAAACAATGACTGAATGGCTATATATCAATGCCAGGATGAGATTAAGATCATTCAAAAATTGAAATAAATTGCATTTTCATTCATTTCTTCGCTTTTTTTGGTCAAGTACAAAACTAAACTCATTTGAAATTAATTGCAATGTTTATTACGAAAATATTTACCAGTAATTAAACTATGACTGATATTAATCGTGTGGAACACAGACAAGGTGAATAATTGACCATAAAAACGTTAACAGCACTGACATTGACACTGACAAGTTGGGAGAATTTATATCTTATATGAATTAATTTGTCTTTTATGAAAAATATAGTTAGCGCACCAGGTAAAGATTAAGTAAGGTCTGTCATGGCATCAAGTGGCAGGTTTTGCCTGGGTCCTGATATAGAATCCTACGCCTGGAGTGAATTATTGAAATAAAATAATGTTAGTTCCGAAATGACCTAGTTTGTGTTAAGTGGATGTTAAACACTATTTATCTCTCTCTCTCTAAATGTCTTTATTTTATTTGTCTTTATGGTTCCGATTTCTAATCTAACGTACATTCATAATGGCTGCTGTTCACACAACGGAAATGTTATGCAGGAGACTTCATTGAATATACAAATAGATCCGCTGGCAATGTCCTGGTGTAATTGAAAAATATAGAAAATGTAAAACAGAAAACGAATAAAAACAAAAAAAAATGAATTGAAAAAAAATCTGATTTTGATATGATTGACCATTGCAGTAGTATGACAAAAAGTATGATTCGTATAGTGATTATTTTGCTGTGAAATAAAGGTGTTCAACAAACGATTTGCGCTTTCTTAAATCTATCCTCATAACATGATTAATAACCTTACGTAATTTTAAATTCCACACAGCTGTAACAGTTGATGATACTACCTACCACATAATCAACAATAGACATCTCAGTTAGATTTATGGCTGGGCTATTTTCTGATGCAGTTAAAATGTAGTTATTCCCCTTTAGTAAGGTGACCATGAGATATTAACTAGTATTGAAATAAAAGGGTGAGTGATAAATGAAATGAAATGGGTTTTAACGTCCTACTGTTCTTCCCCAAGGGGCTAATGAAGATGGGATGTGGATGATAAAACAGATACTGCAGATAGACATAGCTCAAAGATTTATATTTTACAGTTCCACATTTTCGAGAATAAATTACTTTACTGATAATACATGTTTGATTTAATGAAATACATAGCCAATGTTCCGGTTACCTCCCACGGCTACAGACCCCTGTGCACAAGCGATTTATTGAAATAAATTTGAACCATGTGTTAGTCCTGAAATTACCTAATTTGTGTCAAGTGGACATTAAAGCCATATGTCTCTCTCTCTCTCTCTCACTCTCTCTCTCTCTTTCTCTCTCATAGCCAATGGGGGGGGGGGTCCAGTAAGGGCCTGTCTGACGCACCCTTAAAAATTTATTTCCCCATTCCCCACCCTGAAAAATTCGAAATAATACAGAGCTAAGAATGATGACCAGCATGTACTAAGCTACACTTTCAATTCTCTTTACTTTTAAGGTGTTCTATTCTTAAATCACTGGATTTATTGTCCGTTAATTAGATTTTCATAGTTATTTCCACAAGTTTAATTTTTATATATATATATATAGGAAATTACTTGCAATCATCTTAGTTTACATATTTTCAGGTAAATATTTTTTCACAGATTTAATATAGAAAATCCACAAATATACTTATTCTCTCTCGCAACTGTTTTAGGTTGTGGGGCAATGGGTGGAATAGTTACATAAATATAACTGAACCTGAATAGACAGTATTTAGAGACAGCTGGAGAATACATATTAACTGAGCACTAACTTTTAACAGGTCTGGATCAAGAGGACACCTAAATACCTCACCTTAATTAGGAATTAGGAGGAGGTTCCCCCCCCCCTCCGCCACACCCACACTTTAATTTGTAATTTGTTGAAGTAGAGACATTATATTTAATTTATTTATTTGTTTTTCAGTACATGGTCAGCTACCCACACCTTTACCTGGTTTAGATTCTGGGTAAGTTTAAAATATTTTACTTTACGATAACATTAGTTCAGAATATTTCCAGCTCCTACAGATTTGTCAGTTTTTTTTCCTGACTCGATAATAAATGCCCACCATATCATTATACTGTAAACAACATTTGTTTGCCAGGATTAACTGAACTCTTTACATTACATAATTTAGAGAACTTCGACATTTCAGAAATGAAATCATTTTTCACTTAATTTCTGGGGCACCTCCATCTGACAGACACGCCTGGGCTTTAGCACCTAAACCCCATGTATAAAGGCTGTGCATGTACATTTGCCATAAAAGTTTGCTAGCACGATAGAAACGTTTGAATCGGTCATCATAAGGTTCTCCTTTTTGAAACAGTTTATTTTTAAGGGGTTGGAGAATGAAGTTGTATACCTTATTACATAACAAACCTGATCTATTTAACGTTGTGGTTTTTTTTCCGGGTCCTCCGCTTTCCTCCCACTGCTAAAGACCACTACGCGCAAGCAAATTATTGAAATACAATTGAACCATGTGTTAGCCCCAAAATTAACTAGTTTGTGTCGAGTGGACGTTAAACGCCATTTCTCCCTCTCACTCTCATAAGCAAATAAATATGTTCTGGCAAAATATTAGTCATGTAAAGTTGAAGGTGTGGGCATGCATGATGTCATGGGATAGGGATGCCCACAGGCAGGTATTGTAGGGGTCTGAGCCCTGAGGTACAATAGCATTGCTATAGAATCTGTATATGAATAATTATCTCAATGCCGTCTTCAGAGCAAAACAGGAGGATGTTAAACCCCATTTCATTTCGATTATCGCAATTATAAGTGGATATTGAAATTTGATATCTATAAAATATCAAATTAATTAACATCGTTATATTTTGATAGATTATCTACAAGGCAAGTATTATATTCCTCAATATAGAATTTAATCTCCGGACTTAATCAATTTAAATTAAATCATTAATTAGTAATTAATAGATTTTACCGTTATTACCAATTAACATGCAGTATAGAGTGACGGTATTGCATGATGATATTGTGTATATCAGTGAATGACATATCGTTTAGTTAAAGCAATATAGTGATAAATCATGTATGTAATTATCAACTATTATATTTACGACTCATAGCTCCAGGAATTAATAAAGATATATTGCAAGACAAGTAATACAATTAGTGGAAAAAAACATTTTAGATTAGGTAGAAATATTAATAAAATTTCAGATAAAGGATTACACAACAAATACCGGTATTAAAATGTCCCAAAGGGATGTCCATCCCACAGAGTCCACAATATACTATGTTTTTAAGCAATCGGTCAATTAAGGCAGTGGTTACTACATTGCACAAATCTCTGAGTGTCTGAATACCAACAATTCCATATTGCATTTTACTTGGATTCCCTTTTTCCTCCTGGGGGTGGTGGATGGCCGAATGGTTAGCATGTGCACGTTGTATCATAAGGTCTGTCATTGAGTCAACTGGCGTGGTTTCGATTCCCCGGTTGTATGTGACAAAGAATATGGTCGCCTTCCAACCTCGTGGGTTTTCTCAGTGTCCTCTGGTTTCCTCCCACAGCTAAAGACCCCTACGCGCAAGCGAGAATTATTGAAATAAACTTGAACCATGTGTTAGTCCCAAAAGGACCTAGTTTGTGTTGAGTGGACGTGAAAATCTCTCTCTCTCGCTCTTTCTCTCTCTCTCTCCAAGACCTCTGTTTGCCAAGAATATTTAATAGATGCCAGGTATAAGAACACTTAATACTGCCATATTGAAAAGTGGTCATATATTGTTCTCAAGATTCTCAACCCTGTCCATTCTGTCTGTCATCCACAATTTCTTACGAACACTCTACAGACGACATTTATCATCCAATCTTTTTAAAGAAACCATTTCTGATAATAAATTCCAATTCCAGAGTTATTGCCTTTGGTTAACTTCAATGTCCTAATATATGTTAATTACACCCCTTATAAGGAATTGCATGAGATGACTACAGTTAACCTGACATAACCCCCCTTTATTGCTTTCCTCACAATGTTGTTATTACACTGCCATTTAGTCAAACATATTGATGATTTAGTAATACTGTGATTTGAACCCTAAGGTATCAATAACAGCCGTGCTGATATAAACAATAATTAGTAACCATGGTGTTAGTATGACTACCGGTAATCATTGACCACTATATATCATCCCCTCCCCCATTCTTTACACAAATCATAGGTTAGCTGTAAGCCGAGACTCCACATGATTTGTCCTCTGCAATACAGTTGTCATTATTATTTCATTAAACCCGAAAATCAAGCAATGGTCAAACCGTTTTATTAGTTGGTCAAGTAATTTGATCAGATCAGATTGATTACAACCTTTCCTTCAGCCGACTTCTGCCCTAGACCGTCTGCTGTGGTTAGGGGTCAGAGGTTAAAAGGATCAAGACCCTTGTAAGAAGAGCGGAACCTGTAATTTGGAGACCAGTAATTACATATCACTACTAGACTAATATGGATAATTTGTTATTCTCTATTGGTTATTTTCTTACTTGGACCACCAGATCTGTGAAAAATTATGACTCCTTTCCTATAAATTATTAGGCAAGCAATATATGTACCGATTCACTCAATCAATAAACCCAGACCATTAAACTCTCTAAAATCGGATTGGTTATGGGTGATAGGAATTTAAAAAATGAAATAAAATGAAAATGGAGTTTAATGTTCTACTGTTCTGCTTCTAAACTGTGTAAATTAAGACGGGTATATGCCATACAGTGTGCTATGAGGACAATTTTGCCTGGGCAGTGGCACTATGGCCTACTCTTATATCAAATTCCATCTGCCAAGGGATCTTTTATGTGCATGCCAAATGACTAGACAGCCGTCCTTGTCAGGCCCTCTGTCCTGCACCACTGACAAGGGGAAACCACATCAGAAAAATCCCGATGAACTTTCTCAGCCAATGCAGGGATTGAACTTATTCACCGTGGCTCCCCCATTAGAAATTAAAAAACTTAAAGGTTTTATATTTGGAAATAAATAACAAATATTAAATTACGGAAACCCAGAACTCAGATTTAGTTTAATATGTAAAAATAAAGAACAAATATTAATACGAGAAATGCATTGTATCTTTAATATATATCAGATATCATCATAAATTTTATTGACACTCCTACTCCATTTTAAAATCATCGTATCAAAACTCAAATCAAAGATAATACAAAAGACCTTGACATTTCTAAAAACCAGTGATTTAAACTTTAAGATGTTTGCATGCGGACAGTTATTGTCAGATCTAATACCATTGTAAAACTGCATTAGCTTTAACAAACAAGACAGTATTTCACATGTCTTCCCTAATATAAAATACATGTAGGTGAATTAATTTGGATACTACATACAGGCCAAGATAAATTAGGGAACTATTGGAAGGAATGATTATATAAATAACTCAACTCTCTAAGGGACGAGGATAACAGGAAAAAAAAACATGATTTACTACAAAACAATATTCCAAAACATAACTGTGACCCAAAAAATATTCTGACTTGAGCAACAGAGTTTACTACAAAACATTATTCCAAAACTTAATTGTGACCAAAAAATATTCAGACTTAATAAGCAACAGAGCTTAGTTCTTCATGTCTTGGTATTATTGATAATGTTCAAAACCTATATATATTCTGGATGAGAAAATAAGCAGTATTATAATGTACTCTTAATTGGAAAAGAAGTAATACATTTAGCAGGTTTGAGACCACTGAGTTGAGTCAGAATTTTTTTCACATCAATTTTAGTTATTTCAAGAAGTCTATGAATGACAGAGAGTCCACAAACCTGACTATTAAATGACTTTAAACCAAGTAGTTACATATTAAATTCTAACATTATCTATATTAATATTGATTGAAATGTTTAAGATAACATATTGAACATGTTACTCTATGATTATTTAAAGTCTGAAATTCTTTCAGCTGCACAAATAGCAGGTTAACCATCTATTCTTTGTAACATGCCCCATGTCTAGCTGTCTGATCCAACCAATTAACTCATATCATTCCGTGACTTCAGTTCCATTTTTAAAAATCATTTTAAACATTTTATTCACTTGATAGAATAATTGCCACTGGCTACCGACTTTCTTTTTGATGTGCGAGCAAATAAAAATATGGTTCTCAGTTGAAATGGTTCTCAATTGTCTGTGCCATAAAGCACATGAGATTAAAGTAGCTGTGATACCGGTAGCAAGTCAGGAAAATGGCCTTTCTTATATGAACATTAAATAAGTGGTCTATAATTGGTCATGCATAATTTTTTTGTGATTTGTTAAATGGGCTTTTTGCAGAGAATCAGAATAAACAGTACTTAGAAAATGGCCTACCTTTCATATGTTGACAATCTGCGTCTTCATTTGATCAATATCTATGTGCTGCAGTCTTTCCTCCGTCATCAGTAGGACGTTAAACCCCATTTCATTTCATTTCATTTGGTCTTTCACATTAACCACATAAATGCAATTCCATACTGAAGAATAAAATTTGCTGCCAAATGCACAGAGAACATTGCCAGAATAATAGGTAGTTATACGCTTGTAAATGCGATTACGTGACTTCTGCATGAGATACGGCACTGTGGATGTCTCTTTATGACTTTCTAAGTGCATTTCATAAGGTTTGAGAAGGATAAAGAAACTCAGAAAATTCTTCGTAACCTCTTATCTCCATTTTATCTTTGTTTATAGGACAACGTCTGCCTACTTTTGTTAATTTGAACTTTCTCGTACTAGAAACTTAATGAAGAGAATCCTTATATTTTCTGTGTCATAAATTTTGTCGTCTTGTGAAAAAAAATGTTATAAAGCCGTTAATTCGCTGATTATGTCTGGTTGGGCCATCAAAAGCCATGTTTTTTCACATTAATAGCGATATGTAATTCCAGAATTTTATTTATTTTCTTGTTATTGACAGGGTTAATTAGAAAAGCATTCATATTTAATTTCCTCGTT